GCGATGCATGCTGGAGAGACGCCGCGATGCGACCAGGGCCGACCACTATTTTGCTTGGAGTAGGGCGCGACGACGCTAGTCGCCGAGGCTGTCAGGAGCGGAGACAAGAAAGCCCACATATGCCCGAAGCTACCTACATCCGCGCAGAAGGCTGATCTCCACCCTGCGCCCCGGATCCATCATCACGCCTCCGAGCTGAACTCTGACCTTGTGGAACGGGAGAAGATATGGCGAGTGTGCGACGGAGAAGAAATTCCTGGTGCTGGGCTACGAATGCAGTTACCAATGGACGAGGTGCAGATGCTGGATGCGGGGCGCATCAGGAAAGTGGCCAGCATTTTCAAGCGTGCCACGGCTTCGGGGCTGGACAACCTTGGGCCGCGCAGCGTGGCGCTGTTACCAGATGGTTCGCTCGAGGCGTTCGCTGACATCATGGAGGTGGCGGAAACCATTGGTGAGCTGCCCCCCTAAGATGACCGCCGCCATCATGGTCGGATTGCCTAAGCCAGGGGGTGGCAGTCGATTCGCTGGCCCTCTCGCAGACGCCCTGCGGATCTACGACAAGTGCCACTGGAGGGGCCAAGACGAGTGGCGCGGCGCGAATGTCAAGAGTTATTGCTACGCCTGCGCAATCGCAGGGGGGAGCTCTGACCAGGCGGCTCGGGCGCAATCCGCCGTGGCTGAAGCAGGTCTGGCGCCAAATGGCACGCGGCCCTGGTCGTTCTGGATCTCGAGACGACTCTCGAACAAAATCCCGCATGCGAGAATGCGCGCGCGCATGCGCGCGCGGGCGCGTGCGCGCGCGCGGGCGCGGTCGCGGGGGGCGGGGGGGGGCTGCGGGCGCGGGTCCGAGCGCCCGGGGCTTGCGTTGCTTCCCAAGTCGTATGCGGGAAGAAGGGCGATCAGATGTGACGATTTGGTGGCTGGGCGTTCTTTCGCCACCGCAATGATGATGCCATTCGCGCTCGGGGCTTGCGGGCACACGTTCGCGTCGCGGCCGGCTCTCAGCATTGCGCAGGTCGTTGACGATGGCAGCCTCCAAGCAACAGGTTTTCACGGTCAAGTCCTGGGAACCATCGCCCCCGCGGCCAGACGGTTGCGCGCTGAGTAATTGGATCTATGGATGGAACTCAGCCCAAACAGAGGACGCGTCATTGCCACATCGCCCCATCCCGGAAGAGAGATAGTCCGCGCGCTCCAGAAATACAAGTTCAGGCCACGCAGAGCAGCGCGGCAACTGGGGCATGACCTCCCCCATGAGACGCGGCGCGACAGACATCGTCAAGCGGAGCGCGTGCGTATCCAGCGGGCTCATCAGTGGCGCGGTGCGCGCCAGTTGCAGCGCGTGCCCGCAATGCGGCGTTCGTGCTTGTGCTGGCTAGTCCTTTGTCATAGTAGATGGAGTGGGCGATGCGGTTGCGGCTGCGTCGGGGCCCGTGCCGCCCCCGTGGCAGTCGCCCGGGGCTCGGTGGATCTGGGCCGTCATCTCAGCGCGGAAGCAGAAGTCTGAAGGGCGAATCACGCCTGTGACGGCCAACAAAAGACCCCAAGCATACATGGGTCGATGGATGCCCCGTTTGCAGCCCCAAGCAGCAGTGCATGGAGTTGTGGAAGATATTCTGGGACGTCGCGCTCGGCATTGGCGCATCAGAGATCGACCCGGTCTGGGCCCCCTCGCGCATGGCGAGGGTGCGGGCCAGCAGCCGCGGCGCCCATTGGAAGGGAATCTGTGCTGCGGACAGGCATGCTAAGAAGGGTGCCGCCTGCCGCCCGCGCCAGCGGCCGCTCGAGAAGCTGCGAGATCTCAGGGGGGCGGCAGCCCCACTGACCTTGAGGCGCGCCCTTCGCATCCTCAGGCTGTGCCGAAAAGCGGGGTGGAAGGATGCGCGGCAAGTGGGTGAGGGAAGGCCTGTGCGCGGCCCGAGTCTAATCCTATGTGAAGACGGGGGCCACCTAATTCTGCGCTTCCAGGGGCGATGGGTGTGCGGCAGGTGCGGACATCGCCGAGCTCGTCGTCGGGACCTGGCTACAGTTCCGTGCCTCGGTGACCCCGAAGGGCCCGTGAAGCGCACCCGCCCCGCGAGCTCTGGCGGACTGGTCCATGGTGTGGTGTATTGAATGCGCTGTTTGTTTCGTTTCTAAGGCCTTTTTGATCTTCAGGCCCTGTCTTGGGAGACCGACCCTGGGGTTCGCGAGGCACTTTTCGCGTAGGTACCTCGTCCAGGTTCGGGGTCCGTCAGGTGAGAAGGTGGGGGATGGTTTCAAGAAGCCCGTGCCCATCCTCGCCCGGGGCGCTGCGGGGGGGGGCGGGGGGTCTCGGCCGTCGCTCGCCAGAGCCAGCAGGCACCATTCCTCACCGCGGAGGCAGCGGCACTGATTAGGCAGTTGGGAGCATGCTCCATACTTGTCTGGGTGGTGTTGGGGTCGTGGGTCGGGTCCCGCGCTGGGGCTACCCCGAGACAGCTCCCGCCCCGCCCTGCCCACCTCTTGTTTCTTCTGGCGTGTAGCAGGATCGGGCCTGCATGCAGCGCCCATCAACGCAGAGGCAACGGCATGCTCGGAACTGCCTGGGCGGCCACAAGGATCCGCCCAGCCTGCGAGCGCAGAAGCGCTCGAGGCGATCGGTCGCGGTCGTCTCTCCTCGCCATTATGATGATCGTTTTGGCCTGGTGCATCCTTCTCGGCACACCTCGTCGTCATCCAGGGTCTCCGGAGCCTTCCCTTCCTCCTCCTGGTCCTCCCCACCTCTTCCTCCTCCTCCTCCTCCTCCTCCTCCTCCTCCTCCTCCTCCTCCTCCCTCTCCTCCTGCCTCCTCCTCCTCCTCCTCCTCCTCCTCCTCCTCCTCCTCCTCCTCCTCCTCCTCCTCCTCCTCCTCCTCCTCCTCCTCCTCCTCCCCCTCCTCCCCCCCCCTCCTCGCGACGAACCTCTTCCGCGCCATTCCAGGGCCGCTGGGCGAGAAACGCTTGAAAGGTTGTCTCGGGCCTGGGCCCCCCGTCACAGGCAAGCGGTGCCTCGAGGCATTGTGGCCCCTTCGGGCACCCCTCAGACGGAGCCTACCAAATGTGCCGACCTTTTCCGTGCACGTTGGGCCCATGTTGCTCGCCCTTCTCCTCCCTCCCAACAGGACATGGACATTTCCGCCCCTGGATCCAATCCGCCCCTCAGGGCGTATTATGGACCCTGGAGCCCGAACAGTTCAACAAACTTGTGGATCGTGTTCATGATTCTAGTCTTGGACTTGATGGGATTCCCTACTCAGCGTGGAAAGTTGCTGGATCGACGACTCGTCTTGCTCTCTTTCCCATTGCTTTCGCTTCCTCGGCACGGGGGAACTCCCACCCGCATGCAATGATGCCTGCCTCGCTTTCTTGCCGAAGGGCGCGCTGGGGGCAAACCCTGTTCGAGCGCCTGAGAATGCACGGCCGCTCGCCTTCGGCGACCGTGACTGCAAGATTATATGCAGTGCACTTGCCCAGCCTCTCAATTTCTTTACTCGCCGTACCATTCATGAAGACCAGAGAGGCTTTGCGGGAGGCAGGTCTTTAGTTGGCAACGTGCAGGCACTCGACGGTCTATATTCACAGTTTGTGGCGTATGAGAATGCTCCTGCGCCCGGCATGGCTTTTTATTAAGATAGTAAACAGGCTTCCCGTTGTATTCCGCATGCGTGGATGATGTAGGTTCTGCTGCACATGGGTATTCCTGGGTGGTATGTGTATGCAGTAATGAATGTGTACCGCGGCATCAACTTTGACGTTCGGTTTAGGGGAACTATCTTCCGGAAATTCGAATTATCTGGAGGTATCAAGCAGGGGTGTCCATTAATTGGGCTCATGTTCGGTCTCGCACTCGATCCGTGGTTCCGTCGCATGAAGCATGACCTCCTTCCTCTGTCGAGTCACCCCTGTGCATATGCGGATGACCTCGGCATTGCGCCCAAGAACCTCGCCAAAGCGCAGGAGGTCATGACAAACCACTTTGTTCAGTTGGCTCGCACGGCGCGCCTCTTCGTGCATGAGAAGAAAAGCCTATTTGCGTTGCCGACCGCGGAGGCGGAAGGATTCCTTCTGCCAGGTCTACCAGGTGACAAAACACGTTTGACGTTTGACGCGGTTTCGACACGGATTCGACGCGGGATACGGCACACAAGGCCACCCGAAGATGCAGCGTAGGGAAGGAGGAGGAGGAGGAGGACGAGGAGGAGGAGGAGGAGGAGGAGGAGAAAGAGGAGGAGGGGACAACGGTGGCCCTCCCGCCCTGCCCAAACAGGAACGTTCTCCCCGAAGCAGTCCCCAAAAGCCCCCCCCTATGGTTAAGCTGGGCCTGTCCCTGCACAGGAGGAGTTCCAAAAGTAGTCACAAACTAGTCTGGGGACGATTTTCACATAAAAAAGTTAGCACCATTTTGCAATATGTTTGACTGTTTTTTCGTCCCAAGTCCCCCTGTAAGGGGACATGCCCGACCTAACCCTATGGCTCTGGCCGTGGCGGCGAGAGGCAGCCAAGGAGACCCCAGCAGAGCGAAGGGCACGCCATGGGCTTTGCCGCCGCTGCCTCGTCGCCGACTGGTCCTCCTCCGGTCCCCGCCAACCGACGCGACGGGAATACTGCAGCATTGTGAGGGCGAAGAAGTGGAAAAAGGGAGGATGAGGATAATACGAAAGAGGAGGGGGAGGAAGAAGAGGAGGAGGCGGAGGAGGCACCGCGCGGGTCGGCCTCTGTCGGATGGACACGGCGCGCCGCGCCTCGCCTCGCCTCGCCTCGCCTGGCTTCGCCTCGCCTCGCCTGGCTTCCTCCGATAACAGTAATTAGGTACGGGGGCCAAAAGTACACACCGCCACCACCACCTTCCTCATCCCCCCCGTATCCCAGGAAAGAGGAAGGGAAGTTGAGGGTGGAGGAGGGAGGGGGGAGGGGTGATGGAGGTGGTGGTGGTGGTGGTGGTGGTGGTGGTGGTGTATATCATTGGAGCCCGCAGAAGGGTCTCGAGGGCGATGGCAGGAGGGGGACGCGGACGGCTCCGGCGGCTGGTCCCTCGCGGAGCTGGCGCTGCTGATCCAGAGGCCACGCCGCGGGGCCGGCCGGCCCTTCCTCGCGCCACGGCCCCCTCCACAGACTTCCAGCGCGTTGTACAGAACAAGGCGAGTGTGTTTCGTCGTGCTCGTCGTTTGGGGGGCCTTCGTGATGGAATCGAAGAAGATAAATCACCATAAACATGATTTTTTGGCGCTCTCGCGGGTTTTTGTACCCGCGTTGGGCCCCCCTGGCAGCGCCTCTGGCGCCGCCCCTGGCGCGTTCCGCGAGCCAGGGAGGGGGTCCATTGCAGATCCAAGAAATCCGCGCGGAGCGCCAAACGTTTGTTTAAGCAATTGTTTTTTCTTCTACGGAATGGGTTTTGGTCTCTCGTCGTGAAGAGGTCGCGGCGGGGTGTTCTTCTGGCCGCCTTCATGTCAGGCCCCAGGGGCCCTCAAATAACGATCCAGTGCGCGTAGCCAGTCCTTGGGACGGGGTCTGGGACGTTTGTCGTGCTCGGGCCCTTTGGGGGACCCTCCCTGGGCCCTGGGATCGTCAAGAGGTCGACTCGGTCGGGATGAAGAGCTGGCCCCAGGGAAAGCCCTAGGGTCCAGTGCGGGCAGAACTTCTGCCCATATCCACTGCAGTATGGAGTTTCGGGCTCCCTTCCCCAGAAACCCGAGGCGCACTGGATACGGATAAAGTTTGCCCCCTATAGGCTCGATGTTTGACCATATCCAGGGCGCCTCGGCCTTGGGGCGCCCCTTCCGCGAAAGTCGAAGACGCACTGGATATGGACATAACATCTTGCCCGCATCCAGGGCCCGTCTTCACCAGTACCCCTTGCCCTCATGCCAAACAGCAGTCCTCCTCGTCGTCGCGCTCGTCCCACTTCTCGTTATGGAGCTCGGGCCCCGAGGTGATTCGGGGCCTCTCCGGGAGCTGCGGTCTCTGTCATCCCTCTCGTCGGGCTTTCTCCTCCTCGATGCATCCTCCCCTTCCTCGCCAAGTGGGCTCAGGGGTCCTGGAGGCTTCAGCCAGGCGGCAGCGAAGGCGGCCAGGCGCGGCGCCAGCTGAGGTTTTTCTTCGTTCCCATTCGGCCTGGGTCAGAAGCTGCGGCTCGCAGCCTGGAGGGGGCTCAAGTAGGCCCCACAGGGTTTGTACTCTTTGGGTCAGGTCTCGTTCACAGGTTCCTCGCGGACCCCGGGGCCCCACAGGCCCTCGATGTCGATGCCCTTCCCGAGGCCCAGGGCTCCTCGTCTGAGTTGTCTGTCCTCGTGGAGGCGCGTCTCGAACGGTGGAGGCTCCTTTTCGACGGACCCGCAGGCGTGTCTTGGCAGCAGCTGGTCGGAGGTATGAACTCCTTGCCCCAGCATGCCCAGGAACACCCGCGCCCCGATCTTGCTTTTGAGCGAATATTTATTTGCACCGCTTCTTTTGCAAGCAACATCTGCAGAACACGTTCGGCATGGGAGTGCCGACTTTCGCACCGAGACGCATTACATTTGGAATGGTGTGCACTGGTGCACGGCCAGTGCCGGGAGCTCCTGCGCAGGATGCCAGGAGGGAGTTCTCGTGAGCCCGCTGTGTCTGGACGGCGCAGGCCCTTAACAGGGGCCCTTGCCAGTTCTTCCTCCACAATTAGAATGCGAGTTACTTCTCTTGGCTGTCGGCGCCACGGTGCCAAAGCCGACGGGTGGCGGGCATTAGGGGGGGGGCGATTGTCGCGCGGTCGACGTGCATGGAATCACCGTCCGGTGGTCTGAGGTGCAGTCTGAATTCTGGGATGCTGCCATCCAGGGCTCCTCACCGTGAGGTCTGCCTTGCGGCGGGCCGTCTTAGATGAATCCCCCCGATGGTTGGGCTTTGCCTCAGCCTCTCTACTCTTAGACCAGGAAAACGTTCACGATGACGTCAGTGTAGCTCAGCTTACGCGAGATTCTGCTCAGCCAGTTTTTCCTCCGCCGTGCCCCTGCTCGAGGTCCGTGTGCTTCTGGCCCCGCGGGATTTCAGGTCCCGCTCTACTGTGTTCGAGCTGCTGTTTCCCGCCCGTTCCAATGTTGCGGGATTCCCTCGCTGGGGAAGGGAAGCTCGCCAAAGTTTTCGCGGGGCCCATTCTGGCGGCCGCTCACGCGGCCTCGGGGCCTCCGCGGGCTCTGGACCTCTGTCGGCGACGCAGTGGCCGGGGCCGAAGGCACGGCGCGCGCCATCGCATGTCGGGCGCGCCAGGTCGGGCGGCCCGGTGTCCTGCCCACCCCCAGCAAAGCCCAGGCTGCGGCGCCCGACCCTGGTTTCGGGGGCCACCCACTAGGCTTAAGTCGGGCGTGCCCTTCTACAGGAGGAAGATTCCAAAATAGTAAGAAAAAATAGTCTTGGGACGCTGTGTGTTTGACTATGTTTGGCTCTTGTTGAGCATGTTTGGGCTATTCTTCATTGTCGTCCAAAACCTCCTTGTAGGAGGACGTGCCCGACCTGACCCTGGGCGGCTGAGTGACGTCGGCATCCCGGCGCCCCTGGCGGTCCGAGCGGGTTGATCTCGGGCGCGGCGCGCCTTGGGGCGCTTGGGGGTCGCGAAAAAAGCTCAGGGACCTGAGAGTCAGTATCGTGTAACCGATCCCTATCCCCATTCCCATCTACATCTCGAGACCCACCGTCTCGCCACCTCAGTTGGGGATATGCCCCCCGAAACCCGAAGAGAGCAGCCTATATCCCCAACAGGGGGTAAATCGTCCAGTGGGGCCCAGCCCACGCTGGTGGGGATGGGGATCGGTTAAACGATGCCCAGAGAGCAAGTCGGATTCGCAAGTTTCGCCAGCTTGTGAAGCTCGCAAAAGTTTCCCAGGGCTCGTGACTCCAAGGATCACCCCTTCAAGCGGTCTGCGGCCGTCAGGCCATGGGCATCCCTCTTCTCAAATAATTCTGCGCAGGCAAGCTGGGCAGGCTCCAGGCGACCTTGAAGTGGCCGATCTTTTCTTGCTGAAGGTAGCACGACATAATGTCAGTAATGACCTTGGACAGGTTGGTCGACCTGTCGCCGTGGCCCCACGAGGCCAACTGGCCCTCTCCAGGCAGCGTTCCGCTGGTCATCACGCTTGCCCGCGCTGCCCGGGATGCGGGAAGGAAAACGAGGCGAGGAAAACGAGGCCATCTTCCACATCTTCCACAGATCGTGGGCCTGCCCTCGCAGTTCATCTGGCCCGGCTTGGGCGAGCTCTGATGTGTCGCCCCGCGGGCAGCGGCGGGCCACGAGGCCCCCCCCAGCGCCGGTGCTCACGGCGTAGCTCCGCGTTCTTGCACCTGCAGTGGCTCTGCGGGCGACGGGGTGCGTGAGGTTCGTGCGGTGGGTCCGGGGGAGGGCGATGATTCTGAGGCTGCTCGGGTTGCCAGTGGCCTCGAGGGCCTGCCTCGAGTCCTCGGAGACCGCTCAAGTGGCAGATTGAGGTATGCTACGCGCGGAGGCCGCGCTGGTGCTGGCGCCTCTTTTGTTGGCCAAGTCCGGCTCCGGTTGGCGTCCCTCGAAGGGTTGGATTTGCCCGCTGTCGGGCAGGCGTCAAGCGGCACCCAGAGCGGAGCTCCTTGCCTTTGAGCTCGCGATCCCCAGCGTCCTTGGCAGAATTGTTTTCGCTGCGGACCGCAAAACGCCTCTTACTGGTTGGCGCCGTAGACGGTGGGAGCAGTACCCTGTATCTAATTCTGACTTCTGGTTAAAAAGCCGATTTGCCCTTGTGGGCCGTGAGGACCTGATCCAGGTCCCTTGTGCTGTCAGCTGCCTAGGCCCCGCGGACCCCAAGCCTTCCACTGAGCAGGCACATTTGGCTTTTGGAAACGCCGAGGCGGATGCCCCTACTGCCGAGGAGGCGGAGGAGAACTGGTCCGCAACCGCCCGAGGGCGCCGCATTCTCGGTCGTGCCTCCTTCCCCGGGATTCCTGGGGTTCGTGCGGTCGTGGGGCCTCCCGGTGTCGCTGGGCAAACCCTGCATCGTAGTCATCGTCGTCGCGTTCTGCAGTATTGGCCCGGGCACTCTTTTTGTCTGTGCCAGTTGTGGCAAGACCGCTACAGCCGACCCCCGCCATGTGGTCGGGGAGTGTCCGGCGAAGTCCAAGAGGGGGCCCCTTCCTTGGACGCAGAGCCGTGGCCTCTTCCCTGGACGAAGAGCCACAGAGCCAGGGCGCCAACAGCGCCACTGAGCGGGAGCGCGCTCGCCTGGTGGGCGCTCGTGCGGCTTGGCGCAGGATTGTGGTCAGGGCAAGAGAGCTCCAGTGCGTCCCTCCCTCCCTCCCTGCATCCTTCCTTCTCCCTCCCTTGCGCAGCTTTCTCGTCATCGCAGCCAGCAGGGCGGAGGCTAGGCGCCGCCGGGAGGCCAAACGCGTCTCCGACCACAGGGGACGGACGAGCGCCGTGGGGCACACTCACCTTCGAGGGCGCGTTCGAGGCGGGTCCCCGCCCTCCTGGCCATCCCCTCCCTGCAGCCTTGGAAGACTAGGCCCCCCCCTTTCCTTCAGAGCACAGCGTCCGCGCCCATGCCACCGTCCCACCGCCTCCCTCCCTTCACCTGGCCCTCCCTCCTCCACCCCTCCGCTCTCCCCATGCGGCCGCGCCTCTGCCAGACCCCCCCCCACGCCCCGCGGCGCCAGGGTCGACGAGAGGCTCGGCCAGCTGAGGCGGAGCAGTGAGGAGACTCCGCCAGCCGACGGCCCGCAGAGGGTTGTCGGTCCACGGGCGGGAAGAGCGAGGGAGACGTGGGGAGAGGAGGTACACCTTAGGCGATGCTTAAGAAGACTTAAGTTTTCGGCCAGAGTCTCGATTATTCTTAACGTTTCGATGTAAATCTTAAGTTTTAAAAGACATGTTGGGTTTTTTTCAAGATCTGAGACTGTGAATTTCTTAACCCATGATTTCTTAAGCATTTCGCAGGGTGTACGGTCAGCCCGCACAGCAGGGATGGGCAACTTTCCGAAGAATGCCCTTGCACCCTTGCCTCCTCGGCCCATCCTCGGCCGCTTTCGCCGGCCGCGCCCCGCTCGCAGAGGGCAGACATGGGCGTCCAGGGCCCTTGCATCCTCATCGCGCATCCTTCTGCTATACGGGCCGACATTACCCAGACCTCCGCGCGTCGTTGCAAGATCACGACGTTTTCGGTGTCGGGGGGCTCTGCCCGGGCCCCATGATTGTCACGAGCCGACTCGGGATGAAAGGCCCGTCCCACGGGAATGGCACAGCTCACGAGGCCTCCAGGAAGTCCACCTTGTTGAGCGAATCATGCCGCGGCACGGGGAGGGGGAGAGAGCCAAGGGAGGAGGGTGCCACTCAAGGGGCATGAGCTGCCTGCGGGTGCCCCATACTCCTGCTCCTCCTCCTCCTCCTCCTCCTGCGGATAGCTCAGCACCAGCTCAGCTCGCTCAGCCAGGGCTAGCGACAGCTCGGGTTAGTCTCGTCACGTTTGGCCGTCGGGCCCCCGCCTAAGTAAGCGCCTCGGCCCCAGGCCGGGTCTCCTGGGCCCGGCCAGCTTGTGGCCGCGCGTCGCGGCCGTCTGTGGTCACGATTTTGATGGTGCGAGTCTCACGCGCTGCAGCTTTGTTCATTGTTCCGAATTGCTTTGCATTGCTTTGCATTGTCTGCTACTAAGTACTGCCTTGCGTTGCCTTGCTTTGCTGTGCAGTGACCCGTGTTGATTTACATATGTTTGCAATGGCTTGTTTCGCTGCTTTACATTGCTGTGAGTTGTGTATCGTGTTTTTTTGTGTTTGTGTTTGCTCTGCGATGCCTTGCATTGCCGTACAATGCTTCGCATTGCTTCGCATTGCGCGTTACATTCCTGTGCGTTGGGTTGCTTAGCGTTGCTTCACCTTGTCTTGCATCGCCTTGCATTGCTTTGCAATGAGTTGTATTGCGTTATATTCGTTTTGTATTACATTTGTATGAATTGTATTGTTTTGCGTTGGTTTGCTTTGCATTCCTTCGTTGCCTCGCACTGCCTTGCATTGCTTTTCATTGCTTCGTATTGCTTTGCCTTACCCTGCATTGCCATGCATTGATTTGCAGCGTGTTGTAACGCTTTACATTTGTTCCGCCTCACGCGCGATAGAATTTTGGGTAGTTGTTCTATCATCCGCGTCGCCGCAGGGGGGGTTGTTGATTTATTGAACTCTGCACTGTCCTTTAGCTAGTCGTTGTGTGCTGTCTGGTTAATAGTCGGTTGGACATCGATGGGATGCACACACAGCGCTGTTGTCTGTCTCCCTCGCCTCGCTCTTGTTCTCGTCCTCCTCCTCCTCCTCAGCCTCTGCCTCACCCCCCCTCCGACAAATGCAACAAGGAGGTTGCATTGGAGCCGCAAATTATTCCTCATCTGTAGTGCCACCCGTGTGCTGCTGTTCCCTCCTGTGTTAAGGGGTCCAGGGGCATGGAGTGCTCCGCATGGTGGAACGAGGAGGTTGCATTTGAGACGCGTTTCATTCCTCATATGTAGTGCCACCAGTGTTCTGTTGCTCCCTGCTTTTGAAAGGGGTCCAGGGGCATGGTGTGCTCGGTACGGTGCAACAAAGAGGTTGTATTTGAGACGCGTCTTTTTCCTCATCTGTGGTGTCAGTTTGCTCTGGGAAACCAAGGCAAAACGAAGATCGTGCGCTGGGTAAAAACAGTGTTTTCCTCGTATAGCAGTGCTTTGCTTTTCCTTGCGTTGCATTGCTTTGCGCTACGTCGCATGACTTTGTCTTGTCAGGCGGTGCCGTGTATTTCTTTGCAGTGCTTCACTTGACTTGGCAGGTGTTTGCATCGCATTGCGTCGCATTGTCTCGTATTACGTTTCTTTGTTTTGCGTTAGATTGCGCCGCAGTGTTTTGCATGATCATGCAATGCCTCGTGTTTCTTTGCAGTGCTTCGTTTGGCTTGGCAGCTGTTTGCATCGCATTACATTGCATTGCGCTGCATTGCGTTATTTTGCATTGCTTTACGTTGCGGTGCATTGCTTTGACTTGCCTTGCGCTGCTTTTCAGTGTTTTTGCGTTGCTTTGCATCGCGTTGCATGACTGTGCATTGGTTTGTCTTGCGTTGTATTGCTTTGCAGTGCTTTGCAGTGCTTTGCTTTGCCTTCCATCGCGCTGCGTGGTAATGCTTGACGTTGCGTAGCGTTGCTTTGCATTGGTTCGCATTGATTTGCATTACTTTGAGTTGCGTCGGATGCGTTGCGTTGACTTGCATTGCCTTGCAATGTTCTGCAGTGCATTGCATTGAGTCGCAGTGCTTTGCATCGCATTGCGCTTGTGTCGCTTCATTATTCCGTTGCATCGCGCTGCATTGTTTTCCGATGCATTGTTGTGCTTCGCATTGCTTCGCATTGCTTTACGTTGCCGTGCATTGCGCAGACGTGTGTGATATAACGGTTCATGTGTTCGCATTGCATTGCATTGTTTACCATTGCCCGTCGTGTTGGATTGCGTTTCGTTTTGTGTGTTGCTTTGTGTTGTCTCAAATTGCGTGGCGTTGGTTTGCTCTGCCTTGTTTCGAGTTTCGCTGCATTGCTTTGCATTGCCTTACGTCTGTGTGGATAGCATTGCGTGCATTCGCACTGCTTGGTCTGGCGTTGCGTTACTTTTCAGTGCATGGCATTGCGTCGCATTGCTGTACATTGCTTCGCATTGCTGCGCATTGCCTTTCGTGTTCTCGCATCTTTTCCAGTGCTTTGCATTGCCGTACATGTGTTTGCGTTGCATTGCATTGGTTTGCGATGCGTTGCATTGCGTTGCATTTTATACCGTCACGTTGCGCTGCGTTGGTGTGCGTTGCTTCGTATTGCATTGCATTGCTTGGTATTGCTGCGTTCCCTTGCATAGCCGTGCATTGCTTTGCAGTGTCTGGCGTTGGGTTGCATTCGTTCGCATCGCATTGCAGTGCTTCGCATTTCTCTGCGTTGCTGGTCGATCCTTTGCATTGCGTTGACGTGTGTTGCGCTGTATTGCATTGTGTTGCAGTGCTTTGCATTGCCTCGCATTGCCCTGCATCGGTTTGCAGTGTATCGGTCTGTTTGACAGTTGGCTGCGCCTCATCGCACTGCGTTGCATTGCTGCGTTATGATGCTGTGCGTTGCTTGTCAATGGTTTGCATTGCTATGCTCCGCATTGCTTTGCGCTGCGTTGCATTTCTGGGCGTTGTTCTGCATGGGGCTGCATTGCGGTGCATTGCGTTGCGTCGCTTCGCATTGTTGTCCGTTGCGGTGCAATGGTTTGCATTGAATTAGGTTGCATGGCTTTGCGTCGCGTTGCATTCCTTTGCTATGCATTTGTTTGCATTGGTGTGCATTGCCGTGCGTTGTCTTGCATTGCTTCGTATGGCGTTAGACTGCTGTGCACGGCCTTGTATTGATTTGCGTTGCCCTGTCTTGCTGTACACAGTTGCTTGCAGTGCACCGCATTGCACTGCTCTGTATTACGCTGCCTGGCCTTACGTTGCTTTGCGTTGCTTTCGGTTGCGTTGCAGTTCTTCGCAATGATGTTCAGTTCGTTGGATTCCGCCGCATTTCGTTGCATTGCGTTGCACGTGATTGTATCACGTTGTGTTGCATTGCGTTGCATTTGTTTGAGTTCAATGCGTTGGGTTGCGCCGCTACATGTCGTTGCATTGCGTTGCATTTGTTTGCAACGCCTGTCGTTGCATTACGTTGCATTGCTTAGTGTTGCTGTGTATTGCTTCGCGTTGCGCTGCATTGCGCTGTGTTGCAGGGTTCTGCGTTGCGTTGCATGGCAAGGCGTTTCTTTTCGTTGCCTTGCCATGCTGTGCAGTGCGTTGACGTGCCACGGATGGCTTTACAAGTATGTGCATCGCATTGCATTGCTTTGCATTGCTTTGCATTGCGTTGCGTTGTTGTGCCTTGTTTTGCGTTGCTTTGTGTCGCATTGTTGCGGGTGGTGTTGCATTGCTTCGAACTACTACGCATCGGCCCTTCATCGCTTCACAGTAAGTTGCGTTGCGCCGCATTGCTTGACAGTTGCCTGCATCGCATTGCATGGCCTTGCATTGACGTGCGGCGCTTTGCATTGCGTTAAGTTCGCTTTGTATTGCTTTGCGTTGTTTGGCAGTGTTGCGCGCTGCTTGGCATGCATTGTATCGCTCCGTGTTGCTTTGCAGTGCTCTGCATTGCTTTACTTATGTCTCCATTGCGTTGCGTTGATGTGCACACTGTTGCATTGGTTCGCGTAGTTCTGCATTGCGTTGCATTGCGTTGCATTGCGTTGCGTATCTTCGCATTGCATAGCATTGCATAGCATTGCTTCGCAATGCGGTACTTGCGTCGCATCGCCTTGCATCTGTTTTGCTCGCTGTTACGCCGTGCTTCACATTGCGTCTCGTATCCGCATTGCATCGCGTTGCGTTGCGTTGCGTTGTATCGTGTTGCGTTGCGTAGCGTGTCTAAGCGTTTCTTTGCAGCCATTCGCAAGTTTGCGCGTTGCCTTGCATTACATTGCGCTGCTTTACAGTGCGATCCATCTCTTTGCATCGCCGTGCTCTGAATTGCGTTGCATTGCTTTGCGTAGCTGTGCTTGTCTTTGCGTTGGTTCGCAGTGGTTTGCGTTGCATTGGTTTGTATTGCGTTGCGTTGCTTTGCGTAGCGATGCTAGGTTTTTCATTGTTTTGCATTGCATTGCGCTTGTTTGCATCGCATTGTATTGTGTTCGCAT